TCACAGAACTCTAGCCCAATGGTTGCCATTAATTTGATTTTGAATTGATTTTAGAATGAATTGGTTTTAGAAATTGATTGTGATTTTAGGTAAACTGTGTTACTTTTAGTGTTGTTAGCCACTCTGAGCCCAGCTTTGGCTGGGGAGGGTGGGATATAAATAAAATATTACTACTACTACTACTACTACTACTACTATTAGAGAAGTGCTTTCTTTTATCTGTGCTGAATCATCCAACATTTAGCTTCCCTGGATGTCCTTGAGTTCCAGCATTACAACAGAGAAATGGTTAGGAGAAACTAGTACACAAAAAAATGAAGGAAAACACAATTGCCAATCATTTAGACCAAGAGCAATCTTCCTCAGAAGGAGGGAAAGTGACTTTTCCATGGAAAATTCAACTTCCTTGAAAAAGAGGTTTTCATACTTGTCAGGGAACTGCCATCAGTGCCGGAGGGAGAGAGCAAAATCCAGAGGGATTCCGGAGAGCGTCCCGGCATTGGGAGAGGCAGCCAATCTTCTGGGAAAGAGAATCAGCGTAGCACCAGTGGAGAAGGGGGACAGATGGGGGAAGCGGCGAGGCAGTCCCATGACTCCTTGCCGGGGACCAGCGGGGAGAGTAGAGGTTCTCCGCTGCCTATGCCCTCCTTGCACAGAAGGCTTTCACGCAGAGAGAGTAGGAGACTAGGCGTCAAAGAGCTTCTTTGCTGGAAGAAGTTTAAGAAATGCCCACTGACAGATTCTGCCAGCGATTGAGACAGCCACGGGTGAGTGGCTGTCCGGACAGAAAAGGTTCACTCAGGCAATCCAGCCAGGTGTTTGCACCGGCTTACACACGAGCAACCCCTAGAACTATTACAATACTGAAAAGTGAAAACCTGAAAAGTGAAAAATGATTCTGTTTAATTCCTGAAAACACTGTAAAAATAATACAGGAATACAGGAAAATGTAATTGTACACATAATAACTTATACTGCAGTTAGATTCTGCTGTCAGAGCTCCTGGGGAAACCCAGCCAGATGGGTGTGGTATAAACAATAAATTATTGTTGTTGTTGTTCTCTTGGCATACTCATTTCATGATATCTGAAGTTCCTAATGTTAATTGTTTTATATTTAAGGATTCAAAGCGTTTAAGCCTTCCCTTGCCTTATACAACTTCCTGAGTTGTTAAGATTAAAATGCTTGATTCCCATCTGTTCCCCGGCCGTCCTCCATTTAATCACACCAACATGTACCTGCAGGAAAAGCATGCAAAATATTTCATTTCTCTTTAACAAGTTTATCAATGAGCCCCTGGGAGGCGGGGAGTGGAAAGAGGCAGACAATTATTTCTTGTAGTTGTCTGTGATCTATTGACAAATGCCTGTATTAATATATAGTCAGCTTGCATCTTTATACCACAGGCCTTAGAATTTTGACTAGGAACTGGGAATCAACATAAACATGTACAACTGCTGGTCTTGCGTCATCTAAGTCCCAGCTTTGCTTACCCCATAAGCTCTCCAGGTGTCTTAGTAGGCCTCCATAGAAGATGGAGCATAATCCCTGAGGGAGGGATCAGACTGAATGGCCATCTAATCTAGCATCCTCTCACAGTGGTAAGCCCAATGTCTATGCGAAGTCCACTAGCAGTACCTGGGCAAGCAGGAAGGACTCCTGAGGCTCAAGAACAGGAATGGGGAAACTCTGGCCTATGGATCTAATTGGGCTCACTGGGCTTCCCCATTTCAGCAAGCAGGTACTGCTGTACATGTGACATCATCAGGCATGGGACAGGTAGTTCCAACAATATTATTGTGCACTTCCTCCAGGATTTTGAATACAAACTGCTTCCTCTGGAAAGGGCTCTGTTTTGGGGAGCATTTTCCCCTTTGCAAAGACTTTAAAGGTGGTTCCAGGGAGTTTCTTTGAAGTGTGTTCCTAGTGTCAACCAGCTGACTGAAGATACTCTTTCATTGCCAAAGGAGCTTGTTGTAACCACCAATCAGTTGTTCCGTGCTTACAGCAGCCTCCTTTGGACTTTGGCAGGTGTCAATCACCTGGTGTCATTATGATGACAGGTGATTGGCAGGTAGTCATTTTGACTCACTTGTCAAAGTTAGCCTGTGTGAGGTGAGGGAGATACCAACCAGATTCCTCACCCTTGTGCAAAATATATGTTACTCTGCAGTTGCTGTTTTTTATTTCTTCTTCTTCTGCTGCTGCTGCTGCTGTTGTTGTTTAAACAAAACACAAAGCTATTGAAGCAGTTGTGAATGAGCAAAGAACGTATGGAAAGAGGCTGCTTAATAATCCTTTCTCTTTTGATCCTTTTCCTGTTAAAATCACTCTTGTATTAGCTAATTCCATTGGGGAGAGAACATAAGGCTTATCCATATCTTCTCTGGATCTTACTTGCTATAGGTGAAAAAGCAGCTAGAGAGAAAGGTAATTCTGAGATGGAAACAACTGTAGGAAGGAACAGAGCACAGTCTTTTCCTGTTTAGATAAAGCCTGCTCCAGGCTGCTATGGGTTTAAATGAAACTCCTATGGAGGAAACAGGCAGAAATCTAGTATGTGGTTGACGCGTCAGAGGAGATGGATGGGACAAAATACTGACCATGATTTCCCAAATATTGACCATGGTTTTCCAAACACTGACCATGGTTTCCCAAGCTTCAGAGTTCTTGGTGAGCTTACAAAGTTGTCATCAACCCCAGCCCAAATTCCTAGGAATATAATTGAAACAAAATCAAGAAATATAAATATATTACCAAAGTTTATTAAGCATCCATCACTGTCACTAGGAATCATAAAATGAAAAAAAGCATTAAATTCCCAAGGAAGGTACACTCTGTACATGCCCATGCCCTTTATTTCTGAGGTCCATAGTTCCTAATGAAAATTTTCACACTATACCTCATAATGTTCTTTTCCAACCCTTTTAACCCTGTTTCAACCTCTAGGTCCTTAGCCAGTCGCTGCAGAGTCCTCGAATATCAGGTTAAGCTAAATGGGTTACTGGGGTCCTTGCCAACCCTGTACACTGGGATTTTGCCAGAAAATGGTACTACTAAAGTGATCAAAATAGTATCTTTGTTAAATAAATAGCCCTAACTATGTTAAAAATAAAATTTGTTGTGGCTTTGTTGTGGCAGGGTGACCTGTAATTAAGTCTATTTTAATTGTACAAACCTAAAGTTTTGGTAGGATCTTGAAACCCTCCTGAAAAATACCAGTGGTCTGGAGATGCCGTTACTTCAGATCAATTCGTTGCCCAGCTTCATCTGGTCACAGTGCAAAGCAGGGTCTAACTGGTAGTAGCACCTATCCTGTGGAACAACTTTACAGCAGAGAATATGCAAGCCCTGATGCTGGATGGCTTCCCCTGAAAGTGAAAAGTGCCCTATTTTAACAGGCTTCCCCCCTCCCCCTGTTCTGCTATTGACTCCCACCTACTGTTTTGATTTGGGTTTTTGGGTTTTATAGGATTATATTGTATTGCATTGGGTTTTAGATGTAAACCGCTTTGGTAACGCATAATGGAAGTGGGGGGGGGAGCAGTACAGAAATCTTTAAAAATACAAATGAAAAATACAAACCAAGTGTATTCTTTGACTCATCGAGTCCCCAGGTATTGATGGGTTGCACATGCTCAATTGTCTCCACTTCCAGAGTTTGACACACTGACGTTATTTGTGACTTATGGGAGTGAGACACTTAGAGATGTGGTAAGATAAAGGGTAAAGGGACCCCTGACCATTAGGTCCAGTCGTGACTGACTCTGGGGTTGCGGCGCTCATCTCGCTTTATTGGCCGAGGGAGCAGATGTACAGCTTCCAGGTCATGTGGCCAGCATGACTAAGTCCTTCTGGCGAACCAGAGCAGCGCACGGAAACGCCGTTTACCTTCCCGCTGGAGCAGTACCTATTTATCTACTTGCACTCTGATGTGCTTTTGAACTGCTAGGTTGGCAGGAAGAGATGTGGTACTAAGGGATAATAAGCAGTGTGAGTGTGTTAATATTAAGTAAGAGATCAGCAAGGGTGGGATGTGGTCAGTTTTAGAAGCTGACAGCAACAGTTTCTGCACATCTTGATTCTGCAGGAAGATCTCCCCACAATCTCTCTTTGACTTTTCAGGGGCCTTTAGTTCCACTGGGGTGAAGCATCCCCTGTTGAATTGAGCAACATCAAAGGGCCCTGCGGTTCAAAACCCGCATCTTTAAGGGTTTCCCTTCTGCCTTCAGAACTTCCCTCTGCAGCTAGAGAGTCGTGGTGTGCGCATGAGGGAATTGGGGGGTGGAGGTCTGCCAAAGGAGAAGGGCGACCCCACATTCAAGCAACCTCCCCCCCCCCTTTTAAAGAGATGTCACTTGTGTGAAGGCGATCTGGTGAAACCAGAGCAAGGAAGAGTGGTCACACTCACCCTGAACCCCAAATTCAGAGCGGGCTAAATTTTAAAGGGAGGGGATGTTCAGAGAAGGAAGCTTTGAGCTTGAATGAATGGAAAGGAGGAGATGGAAAGGGGGGGGGATACAATCAACTGGAGCTCTTGAAAATAAAATCTGTGTGTGTGTGTGTGTGTGTGTGTGTCTTCCACATACGCGAGCTCGCTATCTGGTTGCAATCAATGCCTCTAATTGATGCTTTCTTTCCATCGCGGTGCCCCTTCACTCTCTTCTGTTGCTTGCGTGTGCGTGTGTGTTTTCTTTTCCCCTCTGCCATATATATTTTGTGTGGTGTGTGTGTGTGTGTGTGTGTGTGTGTGTGTGTGTGTGTGTGTGATTTTCCCACCAACGCCACCATCCCCTCCCCTCTTTCCCTCTCTGCTCCAGCAGCACCAGCACCAGCCACCAGGACAAGTTGCTACGGAAACGGCTGCATGGCAACCGGCTCAGAGCCTGGGGTCCGTCTGCTGCTGCTGCTGCTGCTGCTGCTGCCGTTGCTGCCGCTGCTGCTTCTGCCGCCGCCGCCGCTTGTGTGGCTGCCTCATTCTCCCGCGCGCTTCCCTCCTCGCTAGATGGTGTGCGAGACACCCGAGACTAGACACGCTCCGGACGCGGGCAGCGAGAAGCGGCGAGGAGCGAGAGGAGGAGAGGCGGCGCGAGGAGCGGAGAGAGGCGGCAGAAGGCGAAGGCGAAGCCGGCACAGGCAGCAGCGGCGGCCGGACGAGAAGAGGCGACAGGCGACGAGCGAGTCCGGGACGCTCTGCCGCTCGCCCGGGACCTGAGGAGAAGAAGAAGGAGAGGAGGCGGAGGAGGCGACGACGATTTCCCGCCCGCCCGCGCGCGCGCGCCTTTTTTTTTTTCTTCCTTTTTCCTTCTGAGGGGAGACGAGCCCAGAGCCCGACGCCGAGCCGGAGCGCAGCGCAGCTTCTCCCTCCGAAGCAGGCATGGACATGATGCCTCTGGTCCAGGGCGCTTGTTGCTCCAACCAGTGGCTGGCCGCGCTGCTGCTGAGCCTCTGCTGTCTGCTGCCCTCCTGCCTGCCCGCCGGGCAAAGTGTGGACTTCCCCGGGACGGCCGTGGACAACCTGGTGGTCAGGAAAGGCGAGACGGCGGTGCTGAGGTAGGGCTCGCCTCAGCTGCCGCTGCTCTCCGGCTCAGGGCGGCGCGCGGCGGGGGGGGGGGGCAGAGGGCGGGAAAATAACATGTGAGGGGCTGTGTGTCGTGTGTGTGTGTTGTTGTGTTTCTCAACCCCCTCATGCTCAGCTGGAGAAGTCCTGGCTCCGCGGGGGCTGCACCAAAAAATGGGTCCGAGCCGTGGAGTTGTTGGGCAGAGGGAGAAAGAGAGAGGAGGCTCCATCCCACTTGGAAACTAATGGAGCCCCTCTGAGTTTTGTCCCCTTCTGCCTTTCTCTCCCCCCCCCCCAGCCATGTCCCCCCTCCCCTCGCACTTGTGGCGTCGAAAGGTGTCCTCCCTCCTCTCCCCACCGAAATGCCCCTCTTGGTGGGACTTTCAGCGGAACTTTAGCATCGCCTTTTCGCTTCTCGGTGGGCTCTTTGGAGTGAGTCTTCCTCCCTCGCTCCCTCTGTGGTGTTTTTTTTTATTACTATTCCCTTTCTCGTGGATTTGCAATTAGCTCTCTCCCCGGAATTACTTCGCAGCTTCTTCCTCAGGCGTGCTTCTTCTCTCAGCTTCTTGTTAAGCCTCTGAAAGCTGTAATGGCTCATCAGAGAACAGCGAACATCCCCCCTCACGCGCTCTCTCTCACCCCCCCCCCCGGCGCGTCCCCAGCTTCGCAGGCGAAGTGGCTGCAGTGCAGACTGAGCCTTGTGTGTGCGCGGTGCGAAATCTCTCCTTTGAGCAGAAATGTTGGAAGTTGGTGCCCAGCAGAGCGATCCGAGTGATGCTTAAAACGCCACCCCCACCCCCACCCGTTCTTCAGAGCCTCCCTCTGGCGCTTGAAACTCCCGTCCAGATGCTTGCTGCATTATCACTGACAGTGCAGTTCCACGCATCTGACTGCTACGGTATGGGATATGTAGATTTCTCGAGAGATCTGATCCAGGGATCCATCTGTACCAAGTACCAAGCAATGCATACCGCAGTGTATTAACTAACACACACACACTTCTTTTTTTGCCTGGGAGAGGTGCCTGTATTCTGATGTTTAATTGGACCATTTCCCCCAAGCCCTGATCTATGCTGCAAAATAAAGGAGCTCCTGTTCTTCCTTTTTTTAAAAAAAAAACAACCAGAGAGAGAGCTTTGCGTGTGGAGATGATTTAAAAGCACACATTGCCACTTGTCTTGTAAATGCAGAGCCCCGTGCCCAATTAGTTGACGTTGTGAAACTGTAGAGAATAAGCAGACAGTTTGGTAACGGAAAGATCCAAAGGGATGGGGGGTGGGGTGGACTCTGTACCTCGGCAGCAGATGAATGCAAAAGGTCCTTACTTGCCTTTGGAATGCTAAGTTTGTTCAAAGAAGTTGGAATGGGAATCACTGATGCTCGACTTAATTTCTTTGGGATAGTGCTTGATGTTTGTAACAGGATCTGCAGTGCAACCTTCCTATACCTGCTATATAGCACTGCTCAGCAGTAACAGTTCACTGAGGATACAGATACACTCCACTTCGGGTTCTTGGCATTTTCATGGCGATTTTCATAGGAGGATGTTAACGATGTGTATTAATTACTTTTTCAAATATACATATTTCTGCCACCAGAAGATTGCACGGTTTACAGCAGTTTTGCAATTCCTTCCTTTTTAACAACGTTTCCATTTCATAACAACCCACTTGGCTAGTGGAGAATTTGTTTACCAGTAGCAGTCTATCGTCTATGCATCCCTCCCAGCCCCCCCCCCCCAACTGGCTTAATTAGTCACCTGTTTTAATTTGTGCTTCCCCAGCCCCCAGCTTAATTTTTAGTGGTCACATTTTGCACATTGCTAGGACAATTCTCTAGGGTGTGTGTGAAGGGAGGGGAGCAATTGTATGGTTTTTCTTACTACTTACAATAAGTACAAAGATTCCTACTTCTTGTTTCTTACATGTTCATAGGTTAGTCTCTGCAGCAGTTTTAACCATGAACGACATGGTTATAAATTGTGTTGCTTGCTGATAGTGAATTAGATTCGTAAACTAACTTCATCAGAATCCTTGTTTTTCACTTATACTGCAAAGCTCTTGCCATATATTTATTGCAGAAGATACTCTTTCATTGTTTCAAACTGTGGCAGGGGCAGCCCAGCCCTATTTATTTCCCTGACTGTTCTCATGTGGTGGATGCTGAGAACACATTCAGTGTTTATGCACCACTGGTTGACATATTTTTCATCTGTAGTAATATGCTGTAGTTACAGTCCATGGTTTTAGAATACATTGGAATTTACTCTTGTTGGTTTCCCATGCTGCAGACAGAAAGTAAATGCAACCCTAGTCTCTTTCTTTATTTGCATTGCCTCCAATGTAAAGACAGCCAAGGATCAGAGTTGATGAGCTGAGTTTTCCCATTCATGCTAGGATGCAAACCAGTGCTAGTGAGCAGTGTGAATCCTTCATACATATTTTTAAAGAAACCAAATGAATTCAGAACTAAGCAACCGATGGTGCCTTTTCGCACCTAGAATTAAATGTGTATGTTATCACTGTAACATATGTATTTCTCCAAGGCCTGGCTATGACGCGGAATACATTACATAAATGCAATAGGACTTTTATGGCAAAGCGATTCTTCCCATCTTGTAAGTGGGGGAGCATGAATAGCAGCTTTTAAAATAAAATTCCACCGAGAATAGAAAGCACTATACATTATTTTACCAGAGAAAGCAAAATGCATTACTGATCTACTGGGCACAGAAGAGCAAAGGCAATATTAATGTTGTTAAAATTCCTTGAACGTTTCTTAAGGAATGGCACATTTTGTGGAATGAAATACATTCCCCTTGGTATCTGTCGTGCAAGCAAAGTTTACTTCAGTGGAGCCCAATTTTCAAGGAAAGTTGATAGGAAACAGAGGAGCAACTTAGCCATTTGATGCAGACTTCCTAGTCATTCTCTGGAATCTTGTCCCTATGGGTTATGCACAGCTTTTATTTAATGCATAAAACCCAGAACACTTAAATTAATGAAAATCTACAAGAAAATGCTTTTTAGGTGTCGTATTCGGGAAGCAGCCTTCTGCAAACACAGACAAGGAATGCAGAGTACATATTGCAGCTGTTTCAATGGCTCTGTTGATTTGTTCACAGGTAGTAGCTAGTGTATTTTCTTCCACTTACCCAAGACTAGAGTGTGATGGTTGGGATTAATGCATATTGCTCTGCATAAAGAAATGTATATAAATATAAGGTGATATTGTATCACATATTTTTAACACTGTGATTCTGTATACAAACAACTATGTTTTATAAGGTTCATGCAAATATTTTGATTCTCAGAGTCAAACTGTATTTTCATGTTTAAAAAGAAATATTTTGTGTGGCCAGGGGTCCCCAAAGGAACTACACGCTTAAAATATTGCAATCAAGAAACTTCTAATTTGAAGACTTAAATCATCCAGTATAACTGCTGGTGGCTAATATTAAAGGTCAAGTGTTGGGATCTCTGAGTCATCCTTTCAGTGTTTGAGTCAGCAGTTTTGTTGTTTAATGAAAGGACGATTATGTTAATAAGGATGATATACAGGTGTTTTAATTATCTGACTGCTGAACTGTTGAAAAATGTTATCAGTTAGGCATTTTAGCTGAGATGCTATAGGGATGTAATTGTGGAATGGTGGTGGAGTCTTTCTCTGATAAATCCACAAGCCAAGTGAAGCCAGTAATGTCTGTGGTTGTGTCAGTGGTAGCAAGACTCTTTCTAGGAAGCAATTCTTGTAATCACCATTAGTGGAGTCCAGTGCCAGACTTCCATGTGACTTTACAGTGTTCCATGTGGGGCAAAATGTGATGGAATAAGGATAGCTTTCTTCCAGAAGCTTGGGCTGCAATCCTATACACAGTTACTAGGGAGTAATCACCATTGAACAAAGGTGGGGTATATTTCTGAGTACACATCTGTCTAGAAATTCACTGATGAAAGGTTTAAAGGAGGGATGTGCTATATATTGTAAGTATTATCTGAGAAATTTGAAGTATTATACTTTCTACGTGCAAGCTTCAAACATCTTATGTCTGCCAGCAATCTATATTTTAAACAACTTGCCTTGTTTTATAGGGGTGGGCAGCAAGCTGAAACATAATAGCTACACAGATTGAAATAAAATCGCAGGTCTACCAAATAAAGCCACAGCTTTACAGCACCTTTTATCGTTTCGTATATTTGGGTATCACAGTTCCAGTGTTGGAATACTAATATTATTGGTGATGTACACAAGGGATGGAGAACTTGCAGCCCTCCAGATGTTGTTGGACACTAGCTCCCATCACCTGTTGCTAGTGTGGACAATGGTTGGGGGTTATTGAAATTGTAGGCCAACAGTATCTGTGAACCACAAATCTCAACCTCTGATACAACCTTGCTGGATGAAGATTATCGCTGGGAGCCATGATCTGTTCCAGCCAGCCATTTTTCTATAGCAGCCTTTTCCAACCAACCAAGTGCCATTCAGAGGCTTGGGCCTGCAGGTCCCACCACCCCTGAGAGATAGCAATGTGCAGAGTCTTGCTCCCCTACCCCACCCCACAAGGCACACATGACTGGACTCACATGAGAGTGCCCAACAAGAACTATGGTACAGCACAGGGTATTCTGATTACAGGCTTGCATGATCAATTTTTGATTTTTATTACAACCCTGAGATCTACCGACGATCACGAGCAAAACGAGAACAAAATTTGGGAAAGGCTGGTGAAAATTGCTGCCTCCAAGAAAATTCGATCACAGAAAAGGATTTAGCTCCCACACCAGCAATGTTCCTGAATATTTTTAACTTTCTCCCATTTAAATGAATGGCTATGACCCACCCCATGGAGAAAAGAAAAAAGAAACTTGTAATCCCACCCAGGCATATGTCCCATTGAATTTATTATGGCTTATTTCTGAATAGACATATATAATATTGTACTACCATACTCTGTCATTCTGAACTGACTAAAATGAATCATGACTTAGCAATAAG